TACAACCTAAACAAATGCGAAAGGCTTAAAAGACCAAAGAGAAAACCAACAGTTTCTAAAACCTGACGCTAACTCCATTTTTGCTTCCATTTTGCAAAGAAGGAGTTTGCACTCATGTCTTCTGAGGTTTTCGTGCCGTTGCCTTCAGTGCAGCACTACTACAGGTGAGAGGGTGGGCTCGTTTTTCAACTAATTTGACTTGTTTGACACAATGCAGTGTGAAAGGGAACTGCACCAGCTGAAAATGTAACAAATGCTGCACTTTTGGTCCCCAGTCAAACCAAGTCTCTGGGCTTGGTTTGATTGGGGTGAGAAAATACCGACAGTTAGATATTTCCAATATAGGTGAAGTGTTTTGAAAATAAGTCATAAAAAGCAGAGATAAAATAAGCTATTTTAAGAAAGACTATAAGCTGTCTGTGGTGAATTTAGGCTGATGGAGAGCGAGAGAGAGCAAGACTTTCAGCAGGAAACTTAATGAAGGAGAGCAAAGTTTAGAAATATTTTAGTCTGTTGTGTTTTTAGTCCGTCATTATTGGAATATGCTTGATTTGGAAATGTTGGCAGCATTTTGAAAATCTGATTTAAGGTTGGACTCTACATCCTCGAGGAATGCACAGACTGCTATTTTCAAAAGGCTAGCCTCGTCAACTGTGCTAGTCACTAGTGCCAGAGGCTAAAGACAGCTTAAGACGTCATTGCGCAATCATTGTTTTTTTTGTGTGTGTGACATAGCCTCTGCTGCTGATACGAATAATTAAGAGGCTTGGAAAAATGTAATGCTGTTTTTATAGTTCTTGCCAAAAGAAAAAAAAATTGAAATTGGCTAACTTTAAAAAGCTTTATAAAACCAGGAATTGGCTACAAAACTCTAATTGGTGCAAAAATAACCCAGTCACCACCTCCCAGGCAGGAACCGTCCGTGCTTCGTTTTGTGGCCAGCAGAATTCAAATAATCAAGCATGACTGCATGACATACACAGTTGTTTTGTTTCTCATATACAGTGTAAGTAAGTGTGGCGTGGAGCGTGAGAGTGAGACTCACTCATGTTGTGCTTCTTCCACACACCCCACCTCCTCCCTCCCTCCTTCATCTCAGCTCTCCTGGGTCCTTAAGGAAATTAAGCACATGACTCCGCTCATGTATGAGTCATTGTCTTTGCTCCTTCCATCTTTTTTTTCCCCCTGTCCATTTTCCGTTATATCGCCGGCTCCATATTCAGTGTTTTGCACATATGAGTTCCAGATGTTTCCAGATGTGTGTTTTCACCCAGCACCCCCCTCTACTTCCACGCAGCGTGCAGCTCCATAAATCTTTTCTTTTTTTTTTCCTTTTCGTCTCCTCTCCGGGTGTTGTTTTGCTCCTCCATACCTGCAGTGTGTTGCATTCGGAGTTTGCCCTCGTTGCAAAAGACGGTTTATACTTTATTCATGTTATTCAAGCCTCTAAGAGGTGATTCATTATTTAGAGCTTCTACCTCCCAAAGCCAGATCACTAAGTACATTTTTGGCTCCGAGATAGACTCGCACAAGCTGTATTTTTCAATCACGAAGGCGCTTCCTGCTCCCTCTTCCTCCTCTCCCTCCTCTTCCTCGCTTCTGCCTCTTACATTTGGATACATTGTGCTCAGTTTTAGTGAAATGGCCTCATGGGGTCCAGAGTGAGATGGCTCCAGTATTAATCAGGCAACTCAAGCTGTGATGTGCGCAGAGCAAAGTGCCCTCCCCCCCTCCCCTCCTCCACCCTGGGGGACAGAGCAGACGAGGGGACATTGGTTCCACATGAAAGGAAGATCAGAGGAGGAAGGACTGAGAGAAGAGGGAGGAGCGGAGATGTTTTGTAATCTGCTGATATGAAGTCAGGGACAGGAGAATCTGTTTTCCGAGTGTGCTGTAATTGCTGTGAAAAGTCTTCTTTTTAATGAAATACATTTACATAATAGCTGGAACAACAACATTATGAGTCTGCATAAAGTTGGTCCCAAGATATATTAAGAAGCATGGAGTCTTATGAGATTCTCATGCTATAGTTTCAATTCAGTTTATTATTGTAGTACCAATTCAGAGCAGATGCCATAAGTAGACTCTTTGCACAGAGGGCAACCTGGAGCAACATGATGATACTAAACACAAAATTTTAAACAAACCTATTCCCATTCCCATTGCCGCTAATATAATGTAACACATTGGTAACTGAGTTTATGATAATGCTATGATAATTATTTTTGATAGTCTTAAAAATAGAATAAATACCCTCTTTATTCAGGTGTAATTTTCTTGTACATTTGCTTATTGTACTATTTTGGCATCCTGGTCTTTATATGAAAAATATAAGAAACTGATTTAAGCAATGCTGGCAGCTGCTTAACATGCATAGCAATCATGGCTAGCCAAATATAGTTTTAAAACAGCATTATTGGATTATTAGGAGTGATGGATGGTACTGTTACAGTTTCCACAATAAAATTCTGTCTTTTTTGTTTTACTGGTAGCTTTTCAGATTGTTATATTTTCTTTCTTATAAAGATATGTGCAGTAGTCATTTTTAGTCTTTCTTTGGCATCTCATGATGCTTTTTCAGCAGTAATGTGGAAAACTTTACTTGTTTTAAAACCACACCTAGAAAAATAATAAATGTTAAACGTTGATATCATTAACTGGCCCATGCCTAACCTGCAGTAGATCGCTGTCTTGGCATCTTCACTAAGAGAAATTCCAGGTTAGTTGGTCCTAGAGGATGAAGCGTGTGGCCGGTCTAGTAAAGGTTGAAACTAATGGACTTCTGCTGCCTTGAAACAATTTCAGTCCTAGAAATGTACTATTAATACTATTTTATGAACAACAAAACTGCCGTCACATTTGCATTCGATACATATTTACAGAAAAGTTGGCGATTACACGGTAAATTGAGTTTGATGATTTGATGGAATTCACTTAAAAGGTTCTTATATTTTTGCGCATTACAATGCTTCTCCTTTACATCAGGAATTCACTCTGACAGGAACAACTTTGTTCCCTGTTTATTAATACATCACCGATCTACAACAAAAGTTGTCTCAAGGGGCTTCACCAAAAGAACTCACTTGAATCCAATCATTTGAACAGATTCCAAGTTGATTACACGTTACAGTTTATCTCCGTTATCAAGCAGTGCACTCAAGTTACATTTTCAATCTAAGGAAACCTAGCAAACTGCAGACGTGCAGCCAACACTCCTCCTGAGTGACAGCGAACAATTGATTGCATTAAGTTGTTAACTTTGCAGAAATCCCACTGAGCATGCATGCAGCGAAGGTGGACAAGATAACTCAGGAAGTAACTCCAGCTCAGGAGTTTTGGCTCAGGAGTTTTGTTTACATGCACAAAATTCCTTGTATTTGGATTAAATAATCCAAATGTATCATTTATATGGGCACAGAGTTAATTAAATCCAATCATGATGTGGTTTACATGCACCAGTATTTATTTTGAATAGAAGCACGGGCATATGCAGAGTTGTAAAATGTTCCTAAAAATACACAGAAAAAGTTGCACTTCCATAAAAACAAACGCAGTAGATTGTCCATTATGAGCACCCATAATGGATCCCAGATTTTAATACTGGTTGAGACATTACTGCACCCTCTAATTAAGCTACAGGCTACGCTACATATGTTTTTGGTCTTCCTGCATTACAGTATTAGAGAGCAGAAGAAAATAAATATCCATCAAAGTCTGGACCATAACAAGCCAGTTTTAAAACAATTTTGCTTCCCTTGATACCGAGTCTTGCCTTCCACCGAAGACGGACATACATCACATTAACATAGGGCACCTATCTCAAGTCAGTTAGACAGACAAGTTAATAAGAAGAAGTGCTTAAATACATTCCATTCAAAATGATCCATCAGCATAAACAATCGCTCTTGTGATCCTCTCATTCGGATTACAATTTCATTCTGATCGAGGTGAATCCGATCAGAATATTTTGAATGGGGTATTTACACGATGCATTTTTATTCCAATAAGATATTTACTTATATCCATGTAAACTTCACAAGTGTGAGTGGCCATCTGCAATGACTGACCAGGGATATGTGTTTCACATTATTGGCACACAGCCTCCTACATCTATTTGCTGGGTAAATACTTGCCTAATGAAAACATCACGTCAGTTTGAAGGTCCATACATTAGCATTATCATATGTTGCTGAAATTGAGATGTTTTGTGATGGTAAAAGTCCACTTTGTCTTGGCTCCTTATGGACCAACTGTTAGCGCTAGCCTCCTGGCCCAGCAAGTTTGGAATGGTACGATGTCAAGAGAGTCATCATCTTCTGCCAATAAGGGATTAACGGCTTACAACCTTTTAAACTGACCTTACGAAAATCCTGAACTATCCATTTGAGTAAACGTAATTTAGACATCCAAAATGGAAGTAGAGTTGGACGAAATTGCAACATGTAGGTACGAAATGGGGGGTGCGAGTTGGCAAAGGGATGAATTGGCCCGGAATGACTTTCTCTGCTTCTTCCTCCAGACGTTTGATGTAGCAAGTTTTGCTCCGTGCAGCCAGAACATTTAAAGGAACTTGTTAGAGGTTGCATAAGAGGTTATGATGGCATTCCACACCAGTGGGCTTCACGCTCGCCGACACTCCTGACCTATTTATGATTTTAAGAGCCGCACCAACACTCGTTCTTTCTTTTCCTGCCTTTTATCCGCCGCTCGCATGAGCTCCCTCGCCCCCGTTATCACGTCTTTACAAGCAGACAAAAGGATCCGCCGGGTGGAAAACTGGAGAGGAGGCTGACTGAGGAGATTGCAGGAGTGTGTCACCAGTGGAGTTAATTTGATTGGGGGGGGGGGTCACACAAATGCCTTCTAACTGTAAAGTCAGATAGAGAGACACGACAAGAGATGAAACTGCTTTCCCGAGTGATGAAAATACAAAGTGTCTGTTTGCCTTTGAAATTACAGGCCATGTTTACAACAAAAAAAAATCCGCTCCTCTCTTTCAGAACAACGATCCTTTGACCCTCGGCTACCATGGATACCCATCTCACAGTCAGGTAAGAGCACCTGTGAAAGTGTTGGTATTATGTTAGTTGCATAATAAGCCACATTCCTGCAGCCTGCGTACAGCACTAACATGGCTCGGTGTTGTTCTGTAAGCCACAAGGTGGGGGTGTAGATTTCACTTTAATGGTTGTGTAGAGGAAGATGTGCCTCCACAACCATCACTCATCTATTCCTATCCTCCACCTACTTTCCTCTCTGTCCTCGATGATAGTAATCATCTTTTAGGCTCACAGGACACACTTCTTTCATCTTTAGGCCTCTAAACACACGGAGATTCTTGTTGTTCTGCCCACAAATATAGGATAAAAAAAATTCTAATTCCTAAAAGAAAAACCAGCCGTATCACATGTTTTTTGTGCGGATGTCTGTGTGTAAGTATACAATCTGTTTGTATTAGTTGGCTGATTGTGTTATTAGGCTGCTCAGTTTGCGTGGTTAATCCTTAGATCATCCTGTGTTCATCCACTCATCCTCTCAGCCTCTGCTCGTAATCCCATCATCCCTTGCTCTCTGCGATGCTCAGCAACCTCTGGCTGCTTTATCGGCTCTTTATCTGTCTTAGGTCTTCACTCATGCGCTTTTATTTGCCGCAGTCCAAGTCGTTTTTTTTTTTGTTTTGTTTTGTTTTGTTTTTTTCCTCCCCAGTACAGCTAAGTAGATGCTGTGTATGCCTGGGAAGTCAATTAGATGGATTTTATTTCATTGGAAAATGATGAGGCTTTGAATCATTTCTTTCTAGATGATGTTTCAAGGCTACTCATAAAGTTTTTTCTGCTTTGTGTTGAGCAATTTCTTTCTGGGATGTTGAGACGTCAGTCAGGGCTTTCTCCTGGGGCTTGGAGGTGTGAACTGGTCAGGGGGAGGCAGGGCAGGGAGGAAGAAAACAGTGCCGGCCAGCGGAGATTTCCACAACACTGAGGTGCTAAACTGTCAACAGGAGTGTGAGAATGATGCGATCAAAGGCTCCTGAAAGGAAGAGCCTGGAGAGTTGAGGGAGCTGTGTGTGTGTGTGTGAAGGGAGAAACAACTCATTAATAGGCAGAGAGAGAGAGCTGAAATGAATCCTTCAGCGATAGAAATTAGGTAGTTATGTTTTTAGTGGAAAGCTACGGTGGGCAGAGCTGAGAGGTACTGTTAAAGAAATATGAATATCTTGTAAGTATCTTAGAAAGCCTGGCAGCTGATATTTTATGCCAAAATAACACAAAAATCTCTGAATATTCCTATTCCTTTTTAAAGTCTCAAATTCAAGGTCTTCAAACACTGCCAGAGCTCTAATCGTTATGTAAGACCGTTAGGCACGACTGCAGTTATTTATAGCAGCCAAAATAAATTAAGGGAAGGCTCTATTATAAAACGTATTATTAAAAAAAAACAAAAAAAAAAACAAAAAAAAAACTACAAGAGAAACACTGCTGTGTCGGCTGAAAAACTTTTCCATATTAAAATCTGTTCCTCCTTTTTCCTGATGAAACTCATCGTGTCAAGCTAAAACAAATATGCCTTTAAAAATATGTCTTGTTAAAAAATGAGCCAGTCACAAAGTTTTTAACCAGAATCGATGTGATGCAATCCTCTACAATTAATATTCTAACGGCCTATGTTCCCAATGTGCATAGTTTTCTATGTAGCTCAAATAAGTATGGTTTTTAATCTGTCAGGAGCAAATGCAAGGTTTTACTAGTTTAAAGTTGACTTACTAAACATCCTGTTTTAACCTTTAACATTCTTAGCGTAGCCAGCTGTACATATGAGTCTTCGTATTGTCGAGAAAATGGAGATCCCACCGTAAAGAAGAATAAAAAAATAACATCTTGGTGTGAAAATGAAAGCAGCCTTTTAAAATCCAGAGTTAAAAGCAGCAGCCTGACATGTGACTTCATATTTAAATCTCTCACCTATGCTGAAAATGGCTAACTCTTGAGTCTTCCTTTCAGTGACCATTTCCATACAAGAGAGGGATGTGGTTTGCGTCACCTGCTACTGCTTTAGTATATGACTCTGTTTACCAGCTGTTTTCGTGTATTTTCATGACAGTTTCTTCCTAAAATGTGTTTATGGTGATCTTTTTTTATGCCATTCAGCTTTTGGTCTTAGTCACCGACTTCCTCAGAGCAAGTTGAACAAAAACAGGTGGAACCAAAATGGAGAGAAAACGCAAGACATAGGCCTGTTGTGATAAACGATAAATCAAGTAA